GGGCACGGGGCAGACACAGCAGGTGCCACGGGTCGACTCAAACACACGGACACACACACAAACACACACACAGAGACACACACACAGAGACACACAGAGACACACACACACAGAGACACACACACAGAGACACACACAGAGACACACACACAGAGACACACACACACACACAGACACACACACACAGACACACAGAGACACACACACACAGAAACTCACACACAGAGACACACACACACAGACACACAGAGACACACACAGAGACACACACAACAGAACACACACACACAGACACACACACAGACACACACACAGACACACACACACACAGACACACACACACAGAGACACACACAGAGACACACACACACAGAAACACACACACACAGAGGCACACACACAGACACACAGAGACACACACACAAACACACACACAGAGACACACACACACAGAGACACACACACAGGCACACAGAGACACACACACAGAGACACACACAGACACACACACACAGACACACACACAGACACACAGAGACACACACACACCCCGACCCTCCAACCGCACCCTCCCTTCACCAACCCGCGTTGACCGGCGTGGTGAAGTATGGTCAAACATCCCACGCCCCCCCTGTACACTTAACCGTCAGTGTCGGCATGGGCTTTGATCCAGCAGCGGATTGACGCGAGTTGCCGCCTGTGCGGCCGAGGTGCACCACAGGACGGGGGTTGGTGGTGGCTGGGTGCGCTCAGGATTATTGTTTAATGTTAGTGGCACTGATTGGTGTGGATCAATCAGTTTCAAGGACAATGCATCAATTATGAGAGTGTTGTTTTTTTTGTTTGCGTTCTGACTGCAAGAATTGTGGTCAGTGTCAACATGATCCCTAGCAAAAGGTTTCAGTTTTTTGCTAGAAAAATGGGGGGGGGGGGGCAATCCTATTATTGTATAGTGTTGCTTAGTTCAAGTTCATTGATTAGGTATAGCCCTGTGAGCAATTCGGCTCTTGAATCGGGTGCAAGCGCAACAAACAAAAACAAAACATGAACAAGAAAACATCTTAAAGTGAATATGTGACTTTGTGCAAACAGAAAATCCAAGAAAAGGCAGCAAAATATTGCAGATAAAGCACCGCACACCAACGCTGTGTGCAAAAATCCCAGTGGGATGCAAGTCAAACAACAACAACAACCACAACCACAAGAAAACTTAGTTACTTATGTTGAACTTTCTTTCGCACCGTACGCCACCAACCGCGTTAGTAGTAGGTGCGGGCAGGTGGCACGTGGGGGGGGGGGGGGGACAAGAAACTAAACACAAAAAGTAGAAATTGAGTTTCAATCGAGATGATTTCAAAGTGCCCAGCTCGCAGTGGCTTCCACAGATCGAAAGGCGAGAGCGTTCCAGACAGCCGTGCAAGAGACATTGGGCAAAGGGGCCGTCCATAAATGACGTCACGCGATTTTGGACGATTTTTGACCCCCCCCCCTTCAAATATGACGTCACAAAGCTCTGCCCCCCCCCCCACACAAAAAAAACGTGCTTCAAATCGCTTTAAACTATTGTCATTGAAGTGCGTATTTAATGTGGCGCTGCACTCTGATGTTGTAGGAGAAAACATTTATTAGAACGTCTATTTAATTAAGTAGAACGTGTTGTCTATATTGATTTAAAGTTGCGCATTTTGATGTGACGTCACATTTCTCCCCCCCCCCCGCCTCGTCACACATCGTCACAAATGTCTGAACCCCCCCCCCCCTAGATGCGTGACGTCATTTATGGACGGCCCCAAAACGCGCAAAGGTTTAAAGCCTCGGTTCGAATTCTGGTGGCCAAAAACTCAACAAAAACGACTCCGAGTTGGAGGCGCTGCACGAAATTCGCCCCCCCCCTCTCCTCTCACCCAACACCGGCGGTGGGGGGGGGGGGGGGGCATGGGGCGTGCCAGGCTAGGTGCACTTTTGAGGCAGGAAGTCACCGTGTGGAATCAGCTTACCTGGCACATGCACCAGCTGACTATCGACTAAGCCAACGCCTTTAGCCGCCTGTGCCAGGCCAGGTGCACTTTGAGACTATGCCACGCACGCGCACGCACACGCACGCTCACAACAAATAAGACAAAGGTCCCCCGTGCAGCCAGAGAGACGGTGTGGACAAGTGCTCTGAGCGAGCACCTTTCACAAGTTCTTAGGTTGTTTCGGTAAAGTCACGTAGGTAAAAAATTTAAATGAAAATTACTAGAAGTAAAATAAAAAATAAAATAAAAATCACGACGTTTCGGAGGCAACACAAGCCAGGTGTAATTTAAATTTAAAATTTTTTACCTACTTGACTTTACCGAAAAAAACCTAATCTAGAACCACCTTTCACAAGACAAAGACTCACTGGCAAAGATAAAGATTCATCTCCCCCCACCCCCCGGTATAGCCTTTAAAGATTGTTGGGCAAGGATTGTTAGCGAACATCTGCGAAGATTGGCACAGCACGCGAGCGAGTGCGTGGCCAGCAACACGCCCGGCCACCTTTGTCTTCCTCGTGGCAACGCTTACACATCGTAGCAGATACTCATTTGAGGCCGAGTCGACCTAGGGGAGGCACAGGACCGGTTCAGATAATAATCGTCACTGGGTGTTGGTGGTCGTGGGCGGGGAATCAAACTCGGGTCGAATGGTTCATGGCACACACCTACACAAGACACCTACACAAAGACAAAGATCCCCCGTATAGCCTTAACAGACTGTAGGGGCAAGTGCTGTTAGCGAGCGACCAACTCACCACCCCCCCCCCCCCCCGTGTGCCACAGCGGTGGCCTTCGTAGTTGCTCGACTCAAAGACACACACAGACACACACAGACACACACACAGACACACACAGAGACACACACACACAGACAGACACACACACACAGACACTCACACAGACACATACACACACAGACACACACACAGACACACACACAGACACACACACAAAGACACACACACAGACACACACACAGATACACACACACACAGACACACACAGAGACACACACACACAGACACACACAGACAGACAGACACACACAGACACACTCACACAGACACACACAGACACACAGACACACACACAGACAACAACAACAACAACCGCCATTCGCCACTAAGTGGCGGTGACGTCACCACGATGCTTGTGCCAGGCCAAGTGCACCTTGAGGCCACGTGAAGTGTCGAAAGCCCGCTGGCAGGAGGTCACGGGGCAGACCCAGGTGCCACTGGTCGACTGACCGAGATGACCGAGATGACTGGCTGATGCACCACCTGTGCCCCCTACTGTGCCAACTTGCTGTGCTTTAGCCACCCGGCGCTCCGCTCGTTGTTGTGAGCGTCGCTCCTCCGCCCTCCGTTGTTGTTGGAGGGCGACTGCCTCCAACTGCCCAGTAGCGTCCTTCACGAGCCTCCTCCACTGAGGCCGATCTTGACACCGCTGGTACCAGTCATCGGCAAGTCCACTCAGCTCCACGTCCTCCTGTACCACATCACTCCATCTCTTCTCCAGCCCGTGCCGCGCCCGTCTAGCCCCCTCGATCCGGCCGAACAAAAGCTGTTTAGGCATGCGGTGGCTGGGCATGCGGGCTACATGACCCAGCCAACGCAGCCTTGCCTGCCGGAGGGGCTCACTGATGGGACTTTGCCCAGATCTTTCAAGGATTTGTGAGCTCCTCACACAATCCAGCCTGGTTAAACCCAGGATGGATCGTAGGCAGGCCAGCCTAAATGTTTCCAACCGGCGAAGATGCTCCACCAGGGGGGTCCACGTCTCGCAAGCGTAGAGAAGGGAGGGAATGACCGTGGCCGAGAAGACCTGAAGCTTCGTGCGGAGCGACAGACCAGGTAGCTTCCACACAGCGTTACGCAACCGATGAAAAGATATTGCCGCTCGACTGATTCGGAGTGAGACCTCTGCTGATAGACTGGAGCCGGTCATAAGCATACTGCCCAGGTATGGGAAACTCTCCACTCTCTCCACAACTGCCCCATCACCAATTGGGAGTTGTGGGGGTGGAGTGTCCGATGGTACAAAATACCCAGGCAGGTGCTTGGTTTTGGTGGGGCTGATGGTAAGGCCCCACCTCTTAGTGGCACGCTCCAGTCTCAGCAGCAGCGCCTCCAACTCCTCTTCTGAATGAGCAGCTATTACCAAATCATCGCCATACATAACGTGGTTGACCAATAGGGAGCCATCCCTTGATCGCACCCGGGCGTCGATCAGCCTCCCATTATATCTGTACCAAACCAAACGGACACACACACACAGACACACACACAGACACACACACACAGAGACACACAGACACAGACACACACAGACACACACACACAGACACACACAGAAACACAGACACACACAGACACACACATACACACACACACAGACACACACACCCACGCAACGGAGTTGAACCCCAGGTCGCTGTCGGCTGGAGTTTCAGACGCTTGGGCCGCCCGTCGCATCTCCTGTGAAGAAAACCGCGCGGTCCACCTCCCTCCCTCCCTCCCCAAGACCCCCCCCCCCCTCGCCACCACCCCCCCCCACACCCCCACGTGGCAATATCGTTTCTCTAACAGCCCCCCCACGCCCCAACAGCCCACGTCACGTCGCACCTATCCGTGCAAGCCGAGCTCTCGATCATTGCCCGCTGCCGGGTCGTAAAGCTCCGTTAATGATTGCATCGCCTTATCTCGCGCCCGATCGCCAACAGGTTCGTTTTAAAGTCACGTCGAAAGGGGAGGGGGGCGACGTTATTGGGCCGGCACTCTGTAATCTTGACTTCTTTTTATATATATACACACACACGCGCACGCAAACACGCGCGCACGCACGCACGCACAAACACGTACACACACACACGCACACGGGTGTATTGCACCGTTGAGACGCCTGTGTGCGTGCGTGTGTGCGTGCGTGTGCGTGCGTTTGTCATAACAGCTCAATACGCTGAGACATTCTTGACAGTTGTCGCGAGCAGTGCGGCTGGTCGGGTCGGTGCGTCGTGGTTCGCTGCGGCATCAAGGAGGAGGTTCTGCTACAGACCAACGTGGGACAGATACCCACGGTACAACCCCCCCCCCCCCACCACCACCACCACCCTCACCCTGTGGGAGATACACAAGATTTAGCGTGGCGGGTAGACGTGGTGGACGCCTTGACGTGGGAACGCTTTCGTAAATAATAATCATCATCATCAACAACAACAATTCCTAAACGGCGACTGTTGTTTGTGTCTACACATCGACTGCAACCACCGCTGCCTATTGCCAAGGCTTGGACGGGAACATTGTATTCAACAACAACAACGGCTACAACAACAACAACAACAACCACAACAACGCGTGGTTGACACGGCAACACGCAGCTTAGGCTGTTCCGAGTGTGACGCTAACTGCGGTGCAACTTTCCGGCGTCTGATACGAGACGATCGACACTGAGCACCATCGGCGTCAAGTGCGAGATACAGTTCTGCACAACTAAACTGTCGTTTTTGTTTAGACAACAATCAACAACAGTCAACAACAATCAACAACAACAACCAGTCTGATATAAGCTTATTTCCCAAAGTTGCTTGGTTTAGCAGCAGCAGCAGCAGCACTTTCAACCAATCTCACACCAACTTTGCAAAAAAGCCATTTTTACAACAACAACAAAAACAACCAACAACAACAACCAACAACAACCAACAACCAACCACCACCACCAACAACAAACAAAAGTGACAATGTACATCAACTACCGGCTGCAGGAGAAGGACCCGAACGGTTCCACGCCGCCAATGTTCGCGAGCTCGCGTCCACCCAACATCAACCTGGGCCCACCGACCAACTTCGCGGTGCCACCACAGTACCACCCGCACCACCACCACCCGGACTATCCGCCCGGCTACCACACAGCTCCCGGCGACCACCACGGCCTGCAGTCCACCTCGTGGCCTCACCCCTACGTGGCTCAGCCGCGCGACGACTGGCACGGATTCGCGCTGGCACCGCCGGGCACCATCCCCACGTCGCTGCACTCTGGTCAAGTGTTCTACTCGCCGTCGGCAGACTTCGGGCCCGTGCAGACTGCCGGTGGCTCCGTGATGCCCTCCCTGGGGCCAGGCGGACCTGGCGGTGGTGGTGGCGGTGGAGGTGGTGGAGGCGGTGGAGGTGGCGGCGGCGGTGTTGGTGGTGTAGGAATCGGGCATCTTGGAGTTGGTCTCCAGAAAGGAGGTGGATTCGAGTGGGTCAAGAAGGCGGCACAACCGGCAAATGGAGGTGCGAACGCGTCTATGCTGTCGACACACACCTGAGCACGCGCACGCGCGCGCGCGCTCAGGTGTGTGTCTGTGTGTGTGTGTTGCTTGAGTTCGATTCCCGGCCACGGGCACGCCATCGGTGGGGAGTGGTGTCAATTCCCGTTCGGAGTTTTCCTTTCCTTAGGCGCAGGGATGGGGAACCTTTTTGTCCTGCCAAGGGCTGCTTGCGTTGTGGCCGAAACGTCGTGAGAATTATTTTATTATGTTTAATTTTTTATTATTTTATTACTTCCCTTCTACGTGATGTCTTTACCGAAAGAACCAAGAAGATGAATCCCTGCAGTCACGAAAGCTTTACATCGAAAAATAAAATCCATTTGGATATTTATAACATCCATTCGCGGGCCATGAAAAATGATCAACTTAACAATTAGCCCGTTATATTTGGTCAAACGTTTAATTAACTCACCCCCTAATGTGATGGCTGGAACAGACCTAATTCATTTGCGGGCCTTATACGGCCCGCGGGCCGAATGTTCCCTTGGGGAGAATCAGACTTGGATGAGTGTTGTTGCTTGTGCGCTGTCTGCTTGTAACTCGCTGGCACGCGCAGGCCCCGTTGATAAAGAGCTTCATAGCTCATCGGATTCCTCCAGTCTAAATACAGATTCGGATTCGGTATCAATGTCAGCACTCGCGATACAAAGGCGGTCGTGCTCGCTAGATGTACACTAGCCTATGTGTGTGTGTGGAACACAAACGTGATGACAACTGCACCTAGCCTGGCACGAACACCAGCACTGCGATTCGAGTGGAAGCTGTGTTCGACACAGACCACGTCGGGGTCTGTCCCGTGACCTCCTGTCAGCGAAATCTCGAACATTTCACGTGGCCTCAAAGCGCACCTAGCCTGGCACAAGGGCCGACATTGCGTCTGAGTGCAACTGAATCTTAAGACGATACTTTAGGTGATGTTTTGTTATCATTGGTGGCACCCTTAATAGGTGCTCGCTAACAGCGATAGCCCCAACATTATGTTTGGCTAATCGAAGATGTCCGTGTGTCCGTGTGTGCGTGCGGAAACGATAGCGTAACGGTGAGCGCGTTGCACTACGAACCTGGCGACCCGAGTTCGATTCCAACTAACGCCAAACGCCACTGACGATTGTTTGTAACCGGTCCCGGGGCTTCCCCTAGGTCTACTCAGCCTCAAATGAGTACCTAGTGCGATGTGTAAACATCGCCACTCGGGAGAAAAAGGCGGCCGGGTGTAGTGTTGGCCACCTACCCCCTCGTGTGCCCGTGCCGGCCTTCGTAGGTGCTCGCTAACAGCACTTGCCTCTACAGTCTGTTAAGGCTATACGGGGGAGCTTTGTCTTTGTTAAACAGTTATCCCTTTAAGTGGCTAAAAACTGAACAAGAGTAACCCTGAAGCTCCCATTCGACTGTCTTTCCCCGGCCTTCTGAGTTCCGAAGATGATCACATCTGGTCGTGCACCGGCATTCAGAATCAGAATCAATTATCTTCATCTGTTCTGGAGGAATCCGATGAGCCATAAAGCTCCTTTTTTAAACAGACGTCCAGTAACATCGATTTAAACAAGCCTCGCTCTCGTTGACGATGCACTGCGTCTCGAAACCTCTGCAGAGTTTTGGTTATACTGCGTCAATGCTGCCGTGGCGAGGAGATGTTAACTCCCTCGCCGGATACGCAGGGGAAACTGTGGGTTCGATCCCGGACCCTGACGACGCCTGATGTTGTATATTTGGAGTTCTCCACGTGTGTCTTTCTCTCTCTCTCTGTCTGTGTCTCTGCCTTCACGTGTTTTTCTCTCTCTCTCTCTCTGTGTCTCTGCCTTCACGTGTTTCTCTCTCTCTCTCTCTGTGTCTCTGCCTTCACGTGTTTTTCTCTCTCTCTCTCTCTGTCTGTGTCTCCACGTGTTCTTTTCTCTCTCCCTGTGTGTCTCCACGTGGTGGTTGTGTGGATTGTTCTCTGGGTCGCCCCCCCCCCCCCACGTTCCACATTTAGAATAAACTCGCGTCCAGATGATTTGGTCGCTACTATAAACTCCCACGCGATGATCACCGTGATGATGATGATAATGATATAATCCACTTGGACCATGAGCTATCAACATGTGTGGCCAGGTCGCCTGTGGAGAATTGATCACAGTTCAGCGGGCTCTACCCGGCGAAATGAAAGTTAGTTGAGTTAATTTACGTGCTCCCACACGACCGTGGTGCTGATTCGGGTAGTGTAACCTCAGTTTAACACGCCGCAGGCTTTCGCGACCAATACTATTACAATAAAGGGTTTATTTCGATTTAAAGCTTTCGTGACTGCAGGGGTTCATCTTCAGACGCTGTCTTCCCGACAGACCTGTTCTTCGCCTGGGGACGGCTGCTTGCGTTGTGGCTGAAACGTCGTGAGAATTGTATTTTATTATGTTTTATTTTTATTATTTTATTATTTCCCTTCTACGTGACTTTACCGAAAGAACCAAGAAGAATAAAGGTTTTTTTTTGGGGGGGGGGGGGGGGGGGGGGGTTAGATCGCGTAAGTATAAATGTGTCGTAACCCTCCGCCACCCGACGCAGCCAATTAGTCAGGGATTTGTCACGTGAACAAAACGCCAATTAGTTACCACTTCAGCACCACCGCTGTGTTGGAGAGTAAATTCACAGCATTTACAATTTGAGCAGTACGACGTTTCGCTGGTGATTACATCAAGCAGCATCATCGGGCGATTTACGGGAACAGTTCAAGTTTCATTTATTAGGTACGGCCCTGTGAGCCATGCGTCTCTTGAGTCGGGTGCAACCGCAACAAACAAAACTATGAACACAGAAACATCTTAAAGCGACGACGCACAACAGAAACATCCTGGGATAAACCAGCAAATCTTCGAGAAAATAAAAAAACACCGCAGTGAAGCAATCCACCTGCTTCCGTTCTGAAGTAGTAACTAATTGGCGTTTAGCTTGTATATAATTTCATATTCGTTTGAGAGCGCCTTCACTCAAGACGCTTGACAGAGATTACGGTGGAGAGTGCACGGATAGAGGAATGTGTGACCGCGATCGAGGGCATCTCGGGGGGTCACGGAGGGGTCGGGGAGCGTCAGGGAAGGAGTGGATGGGTTTGCGAGGAGATGGAAGAGTCAAAAACAAACTCCACAAAGTTTCGATGTAAAGCTTTCGTGACTGCAGGGATTCATCTTATTGGTTCTTTCGGTAAAGTCACGTAGAAGGGAAGATAATAAAATAATAAAAATAACATATTAAAATCATTCTCACGACCAAGAACCAAGAAGAGGAATCCCTGCAGTCACGAAAGCTTTAAATCGAAATTGCAGGGATTCATCTTCTTGGTTCTTTCGGTAAAGTCACGTAGAAGGGAGATAATAAAATAATAAAAATAAAGCATAATAAAATAATACAATTCTCACGACGTTTCGGCCACAACGCAAGCAGCCGTACTCAGGTGACCTGTTCTTCACCTGAGGACGGCTGCTTGCTTTGTGGTCGAAACGTCGTGAGAATTGTATTTTATTATGTTTTATTATTATTTTATTATCTCCCTTCTACGTGACTTTACCGAAAGAACCAAGAAGATGAATCCACAATTTTTGTTGATGTAAACGTCAGCAAGCAGTCGGCTTCTGCGACCAATATCATCCACGCACCAAAGGTGTTTTTTTGGGGGGTTAGATCGCAATGAAGATAAAACGTGTCGTTAAACCCGCCACCACCCGGCACAGCCAATTAGTAAGGATTTGTCGCGTGAAAATAATAACAAAAACATGCCAATTAATCACCACTTCAGTACGCATTATATTGTAATGTTTGAGCGTGTGATTTTATTACGGCATTGTCAATACAATCTCATAAAGACGCAGTCACAAACGCAACTACTGTCCTAGAATATCGTACCGGTGGTTGGCGCACCACGCCACGAACCTGAGTTCGATTCCAGGCCGCGTGGAACCCAAAGTGGACACCCACGAGGAAATTGGCCCTGACCTGGCCGTCGCCCAGGTAGACTGGGCCTAAAATAGGTGACTGGTGCGGTGTGATGATGAGCGTCTGCACGAGAGAGACAAAGGCGGTCCCAGCAAACAAACAAAAAAACCCACCAGCCCGGCCTTAATAGGTGCTCGCTAACAGCGCTTCTCGCACGAGTTTAGTTCAACACAGAAGATATTTGTCGCGTTGAATGTATGTGCTGGGGGTGTATATATATATATGTGTGTGTGTGCGTGTATGGATTCCGATACGTGTGGTGTAGCGGTGCGCGCTGGGATAAAAAACCCGGCAAACCCGAGTTCGATTGCCGCTCACGGCCATGGGCATCTCCTAGGTCGACTCAGCCTCAAAATAATTGCCTCGTATAAACATCACCACCGGGGAGACAAAGGCGGCCGGGCGTGGTGTTGGCCACCCACCCCCAGGTGTTCCGTGCCGGCATTCATAGTTGCTCGCTAACAGCACTTTCCCCAACAGTCTGTTAAGGCTACACGAGGTATCTTTGTATGTATGTATGTGTGTTAGTATCTATATATATATGTGAGTATGTGTTAAAATCAACGCGTCCCGGGTTTTATGATTATGAGGATGATAAATGCGAGTGTTGTATACGCATCGGAATATATATAGTGTGTGTGTGTAATCAGGTGACTGTTCCACCTGAAGACGGAAGCTTGTGTTGCCTTCGAAACGTCGTGATTTTTTTTATTTTTTTTATTTTTATTAATTTGAATTTTTTACCTACGTGACTTTACCGTGAAAAAAACCTAAGAATATGAATCCTTGCAGTCACGAAAGCTTCAAATCTAGAATGCGTAATCAGGCTTGCGATTATTTCGCGTCTATGCGCCACTTGTATTGCGCGCGCGCAACGCGTTAAACCCATGCCGCCGCCCGCCGCCGCTTTAGGGACCGACGTTTCGTGCGGCTTTCCGTGGGCCTCGGCGTCGCACTCGCCACGGGGAGGCGAGTGACGCGTCTCGCGGGCGCGTA